TCCATTTTAATGTTCCCTACCTTGGTTTCAGATGCGTATACATCACCTCTCTTCCACCCCTAATCGAATTAACTTCTACTTCCTCCAACTTGGTAAATGCTGTGAGTATATTTTAAGCCATAGACACCCAAAATATTATAGTCATCTGTTGAACACTTCTCAAAGTATTTAATTTTTTTATTACATAAAAATATCACTGTCTGCTCACACCATGCTGAGCTGCTCACCATTCACTGAATATCTCCTTTGTTTTTCCATTTCTGTTGCCAATTTTCTGTTTCCATTTTCTGTTGCTCTTTGTGATAAATATAGCTGCACAATCTTTTGCTAACCCTAACCCTAACTAACAACATTCTACTTAAATATAAATTCTGTACTAATATTAATCATTTAATGGGAAAAGTATACATTATGGAAACTACTGATGATATGCTTGATGTCAATCCTTAGCTAAAGTCTTGAGTATATTATTAAACAGATGGAAGCGATGGTTTACCACTTCCTTAGAAAAGCAAGTGATCATTAAGAGCAGCCAGCTTGCATTCACTGATGACAATTATATCAAAGTTTTCTCATTTCCCTCTGTGATTGAATGGTTAGTTCAGAGGCTGAGGAGTAAAGCAAGCACACTGCATCTTCACTCTAGTAAGTAATTGCAAAGTACTTTCACAATCTCCCTGTTAAGCAAAAGATACATGTGGGTTGAATGATAGGACATTTGGGTGCTTTTGTAGTTAAATGAGCAGCAATACGCCCAAGTGGTGGATTAATGGGCCATATGTGACTACAAGGATCACTTTGGAGTCCACAGCTGAGAACTCTGTCCTTGGTGCCATCCTGTTTAGTATTTCTACTAGGAACTTCAGTGAGCACATATCATGTATGTTGATCTAATCTACAAGCCTCACAAATCTGGAAGAGATGACTAATATGTTGTATTTCAAAATCAGAATTCCAATTTCTTTTTTTTTCCCCCCTTTTTGTCTTTTTTCGTGACCGGTAACGGAATCGCAACCCTCGGTGTCGTGCTCGTACCACGACTGGCAACGGGTTCGCAACCCTCGGTGTCGCGTCCGCACCGGGCTCAACCAGTGAGTGGACCGGTCTCTATATGGGATCTGAACCCTCGGTGGGAGCGCCGCCGCGCTCCCAAGTGCCACACTCTACTGAGTGCGCCACCGGGCCGGCCCAGAATTCCAATTTCTTGACACATAAGCTAAAACCCACAAATTATAGTTTAACAGGAATAAATGTAAAATCATTACAATTTCTAACACAAAATAGAGAGATAAGCACAAAATAGAGAGAGAGAGAGAGAGAGAGAGTGCTCATAGAACTGTTTGATTGTAGTTCTTGTGAAAAAGACCTGCCTGCCAACTCAGAATGAATCAACTATACAATGGGACATCCCAAAGCTAAAACAATTGCATGTTGTATCAATATTCTGTTCACAACGGGAAGGAAATAGTTCCAGTGTTATCAGCATTGGTTAGACAGCATGTGGATTACTCTATTGAACAGGTGTTAGGAAGCTGTCCAGGATTATGGGAGGTCTGAGATATTCACAGTGGGCAACAATGGAATGGGCCAGTGTATTGACGTTGGA